ACAGGGCTTTAGAATATCGATACAGTATCGGGAAATGAAATATCGCGATATTTCAGTGTATCGATATTTTCTTACACCCCTACTAATCAACGACAAAGGAAAGACACGACCAACACTTTGATGTAGTAAAAAAAAGAAAAAAAAGTGCTTTTGGAGCCGTTCATAAACAACATGTCCTACCGTCTCAACACAAAGTTTATTTCATATAAGTGTAATATTCGTAAAACTGCTGGCTTGCACATTTGAAGACAAACAGTATTTCCTCAAACAACAAACCAAGAGGAGTCTATAACCAAACTAACCTGGAAATGGGGGAAGAAGTTTTTGTATCCGCCCTTCAGGATGTACAGCTCGGGGTAGTGGAGGTTGGGGTACTCATTGATCTCGCGGTCTCGGGCCCTYACAAAGCGGCACATTTTGGGGCCGCGTTCAGACGAGAACTCACAGTGGAAGATGACGACCACTCGCTTGTCTGGGCAGGATGGGACTGTGGGGGTCCTCAGGAGAAAGTTCTCCACCTGGTCCTCCTGGTGCAGGTTTAGAGCTCCCTGAGACAAAAAATCAAAATGCTTACTGCATCCTAAAGAAAACAGTTGTCGTGAAGAAAACACTGAACTTCACATTTAGAGTCAACATTTCTACTACTCTTTAAGACAACTAGAGAGGAAACTTCCAAATCAAACTAATTAATACACTTGAAACGTATACATTTAGGTCTCTGTATTAGTAATGAGTACACACTGGAAGGAGCTGACTTACTCTAATGTGTCCACCTTCAAACTCGTAGGGGTAACGGCAGTCAATGACAAAGATGTGCTCAATTTTGTCATTAAACTTGCCGTTCAGGGCTGCCACCATCTAAACAAAAGAGTCATATGCAAATATTACTCTGCTGTTAGTTATTAATGATTGTGAACAGTTTAAAATAGGGCTGAATGATTAATCACATTTGCGATAATCTCGCAATATGTTAAAATGAGATTTTCTAACCGCACAGGCTGCGATTTGACTGGTCACGTGACTTGGGAGTGAGCCGAGCGGAGCAGTGTTGCTAACTTAACGATGTGGCTAGTTCTAGCGGCTTTTCAGACGCCTCTAGCGCCTCTTTTTTCCCCCAAAAAGCGACTAGCGACAAATCGGTCTACTCTTCCCGGTGTTTGAGATATTTTTAGAAGCTTTGGTGACAGCACTTTTCTCCATGAACAGCGCGGTGCATGCGCAAAGTTGCCACTGCTTCTGCCTGGTTTACCAAGTGGGATATAATATTTAATGTACTGTTTTTTCTCTGGTACCATCTCTCTAAAACAAATTCTGGACCCAGCTGTGTTTGACTCACAAGCTGTGCTTCCATTTCAAATGTGCGCAAAACTTTGTTGACATTCTGTAAAAAAAAAAAAACAAAACCACAGTTTCGCAACTGCGGTGTTTCCATTAAGTAAGAAATGCTATTAAAGTCATGCGTGAATATGTTTGTTCTCACAATAAGTCATTACAAACATGGCGGCGATGGATGTAAACACATAGCATGTTGATACCATGACATTAGCGCTCATCATCAGAGGAGACGTCGGCGTCTTTTATCGAGGCTTTCCAGAGACAAGCTCCTAATTGGGAGCGGCTACATATGCTGTGTTTTTGGGAAATTGTAGTCGGTGAGTTTACTATTTTATATTACTTCAATGACATTACTACTACTTCTACTTCCTGTTATCTTCTTCGTCATCGTCGTTTTCGCCAGTAGAAACAGCCGGTTGTTGATCACGTGACTCCCGTGATGCGAAAAAACGTGTTTCCATTGCAGTTTTGTGAAAAACACCGATTTCGATACGGCCGAAAAACCACCTCATCCTAGCGCAAAAATATTTTGTTGAAAAACGTAACTTTTTTTTCGAAACAGACGTGTTTCCATTGAGCAATTTTTTTTTTCGAAATTCTAATTTGCGCATTTTCATGGTCAATGGAAACGCAGCAACAGATCAGTCACTTCTTCACCTCGTCCTCCCTGCCTCGTGATATCTAACAGTCTGCAGATTAAATTTAAGATTATCACTAATTTAATTCATGCACTGTGGATCTAAGCATTGAAGTCATAAAATTATTTTTATTTCATTAAGTTTAATTGCAGTTTTAAACATATTTAGTGTTTTTATTCACTTTTTTTCTCTTTAACATCTCTTCTATAGATCAGGGCCTGTATTTATTAAACTTCTTAGAATGGATTTTTAGACTTAAGTGCTGAAAATTTTTTAGATTTGCTCCCACACTCAGACTTAAGTGTAAGTGCCAGTTATCACAATTCTTAAAGGGGCAATATTATGTGTTTCTCTGGCATATATTTAAATACTATACCATAATAAAGTGTCTATGTCACCTTTAGCTGTTATTAAAATGCTGTTTTTATGTTTAAATAGAGAATAAACCTATCTTCTTATCACTTCCTCTTCTAAA